AGACTTCAAAAGAAGAGGGGCTTGAAGTCGGTTTTTTAAAGGTACTTTATAAAATAATTATTTAATCACTATCACTACATAGTATAAAACAAAGTCGCTATTTGCCATCTATGTGTCCCTATGTATGCTTAGATCTTTGAAACTACGCAACGGATTTTGATGGGGTTTTTTTTAATAGACTGAGTGATTCTTAAGGAAGGTTTATATGATTAATACATGCATATTGCACCCGTGCGAAGCCGGGGCGGGTCGCTAGTTACAAATAAAGCACAGTGAGTTTGAAGTACCTTAAACTCAAATCATTTAGGTTGATTTTCGAAACTGCTTTAAAATCTAAGCCTCGCCAATGAAAATGCAACCTTAAAAATAAAACTATAACGCTGAAAATCAAATCAGCATTCGTAGGAAACAATTTTATTCGGATATTTTCTTAACTATATACTATTTTAGCATCAAAATGTATCCATTCGTTATTAACTATAATATATTACAATACACCCAACCAGATAAGTGCGGGTTCGATTCTTGGTTCGATCGTAAACTGAAGAGGTAGGTTATATGAATACAAATTACAATCTTACAATGACTTTTCTGTATTAAATATATTTTAATTAAAAATCGCGGGTTACTCACGTGAATATACTGAGAAAAGCTCTACTAGTATCGAACCACGGTCGCGGCAATGTCGCATAGCCTACTGTAGCCAGCCAGTAGGCTGCGCGACATCGCCGCGACCGCGCACGCTACTCACGAGGAAGAACCCCTCTGTGGTTCGAAACTAGTAGAGCTTTTCTCAGTATATTCACGTGAGTAACCCGCGATTTTTAGTTAATTTAGTATGTCTCACGATAGTTATTACAAAAACATATAAATATTTTTTGCGAAATGGCGTAATTTGACTGCAGAGTTCGCGAATTGATTGGTGCGTAGCGTATCGTTGTTCGATTCTCTGACGAAACAATTCTTTGATCTATAAAATTATTGTTTAACGCAACGCCTGAACGAAGAACTGGGTAACATCCTTACTAATATTATAAATCGGAAAGTGAGTTTGTTTGTTTGTTCCACTTTCACGCCGTAACTACTAAACCGATTGCTTCGAAATTTTGCAGACGTAAAATTAGAAGTCCGGATTAAATAATAGGGTACTTTTTAACCCGGAAAAATTTGATATTTCCGAGGGAAAACAATAATATTGGTATAGATGGCGCTGTGTGTATTGGTATAGATGGCGCTGTGTGTATTGGTATAGATGGCGCTGTATGTCATTTAACTCGTCGAGTACCGTATTTATAGACACAATTAAATAACAATAGGTTGCGGTCACCGGTGACCGCTTGGTGTTTGACAGTTTAAAACCAGTCAATGAATTACCTACTTATTGGAAAAATGTAAATAGCGCGATATAACCGAATTCCACGCGAGCGGAAAGCTATTTGTTTGTTTGCCTGTCTTAAACGGCAGAACGGAGGTACTAATTAGCGTGATATTTTAACTGAAGGTAGTTGAACGGATGGATAGTCACATAGGCTACTTTTTATCCTTTTGTGACGCGAGCGAAGCCGCGGGTAAAAGCTACAACATAACATAACATAACATCACGCCTTTTATCCCCGAGGAGGTAGGCAGGTAGGAAGGGGTAGGCAGAGGTGCACATTATACTACTGTACAATGTAACACCCACTTTTCACTATTTATGTTATGAGTCCCATGTAATAGGGGGTGAGCCTATTGCCATATACCGGGCACAATTCCAGACTCCGTGCTACTACTGAGAATATTTAAAAACCTAGTAATACTGGGAATCGAACCCGAGACCTCTTGCCCGGCAGTCGCACTTACGACCACTCGGCCAACGAGGGGTAAAAGTTAGTTAAAAAATAATCGAATGTCAGGAACTTCATACATTGATTTTTCTACTTTACTTGACTAATAGCTTCTGCTCACCCTTGTTCCCGTGGGATAAAAAGTAGCCTATGTGTTACCCCAGTGCATAATCTACCCTTGTCCCAAATTTTATCCCGATCCCTTCAGTCATTTCGACGTGATTAAGTAACAAACACACACACACACACATTTTCGGACTTATAATATTAGTAATATGAAACCGTAAGCTAGGGACAATATTATAACGTATAGATAATAACTATGTATAGATTAATATAGATTAATTGCGACTGCCGGGCAAGGGGTCTCGGGTTCGATTCCCGGGTCGGGCAAAGTATTATTGGGTTTTTTAAAAAATTCTCAGTAGTAGCACGGAGTCTGGAACTGTGCCCGGTATATGGCAATAGGCTCACCCCCTATTACATGGGACCCATAACATAAATAGTGAAAAGTGGGTGTTACATTGTACAGTGGCATTAAGTGCCGAAATGTGCACCTCTGCCTACTCCTTCGGGGATAAAAAGGCGTGATGTTATGTTATGTTATGTTATGTTATGTAATTAATTGAGTTTGTAATTGTTCCTGACGTCACATCGGGCTCACCACCATACGTGGCCATGGTCATTCACTCACTCGCTCGCCCGACACGACGCCGTGCGCACATATCGGTTGACCCTTACAATCAGTACCTATTTAAATACAGTCTTCTCATCATAACGAAGTCTTTTATTATTCAAGACCACCAGCAACACACCTGGAGCTTGATATTCAAACAGTAATCGATAGAAAATGACGCTTAAAATTTTTTTTCTTACATATTTGGGCGGCTGCCAATGCAAAATCCACCGTATTTACCGCAGGTAAAGTTCATAAAGCTTCATAATACAACTCGCTGATGTATTTTACAAATTATCGGTTAAGAGGAAATTGGTCACGAAAATCTTTTGCTGGCTTACAGACTATGCCTTTACGCCATTTTTAGCAGTACTGGGAATCAAAATAATAGCGTTTTGCATTTACTATAATATGGCAAAAATAAATAAAACAAATTGACTAGTTAACCATTTCGAATCCACTATATTTTTCATTAAATAAATCTTAACCACACAGAATCGAACCCGCACAGGAGACAGTGAAAGACAATAATTTACAATAGCAACTCTCACTTCACGCACACATTTAAATGTTTATTTTATATATATACTAAAGGTATATATTTATGTCTGTATGTTTGTAAGCACTAACATCATACCATATTACGGCCGTTGTCACCAGCTATTCTATCGACGACCTGAAAAAAAAAAGTAAAAACAAACATAAGTATGTGTCGACACAAGTCACCATCGACATATAATAATGGACATGCCGTACGCGTATAATCTGCAGTAATTTTTTGGTTTGAAAAGTGTGAAAGAGATGGCCTATGCTTTCGGTCTAGCGCTATCTCTTTCCTCATAGATGACTGGCGCTCAGTTTTCATGACAAGCACGGCATATAAATTTATTTCGCCCTTAACTATAAGCGCTGGCATCGCATCACTCCGCGAGAGAGATAAAGATAGACCGAAACTTCGTTTCCTCTCTTTCTTTCGGAGTGCCACAATTCTCATCGCTAAGGCATGTCCATTAGTATATGTCGATGCAAGTCACAATGCCAAATGACAGCTCACGCACATAGATTATCAATGAAACAAATCAACGGATGACGTCACAACATCCTACACCGCACATGTGAAGTTTACATGCGAATTAACACGGATAGAAAATCCCAACGAACAACTGTTGGGTATAAAGCCCGCCAGGCATGATCACCTCGGCTGGTCGGAGGATCCTCCTTTACCGATCTTAAAGAATGTACTTTACCCTTTTAGATCATTGGAGGAAAACGGGTAGCCGGATAACCTGATGGTAAGCGATCAGCGCTGCTCAACCACACTCGTAACACTGGAGGCGTGTCAGCGCTTTTTGTGGCCATTGATCAAACAGGCGGCGACGCGCGCGACGAGGGTATAAAACTACATTGCACATGTGCACGTTTACATGCGAATTAACACGGATAGAAAATCCCAACGAACAACTGTTGGGCAGAAAGCCCGCCAGGCACGATCACCTCGCCTGGTCGGAAGGTACTCCGTTTCCGATCTTAGGAATCAGTTCCCTAACAGTAGGCACTTAAAATAGTAAAACACGCTTTAACTCGTCGAGTACCGGTTTTATAGACACAATTAAAGAACAATAGGTCGCGGTCACCGGTGACCGCTTGGTGTTTGACAGTTTAATCATAATCGAGTACTTGCCGACTAGTCAAATTCAATACTTTTTTCGAACTGTCAAAAACGACAGTTTTCTATGAATTTTGTACGAGATTGTGTGTTGTGACGTCACGTTTTTCAAGCGTCAAACAGCATATACTTATTTCTTAAAATTTGCTGGACAAATACTAAAATTAATTTGATCATAAAATCCATTAATAAAAGTGTGGTTATTTTTTAATATTTTATTGTATTGAACAGTCGAAATAATTTATTTTTGATTAAGTCAAGTACCCAATTATGTCTTCGTCATCGGGAGAAATGTAAGTACCTGCCAATTCCACCATCAAACCAGCTCGACGGCACCATAATATTGTATTGTCGTCTAATCTACATACAACTGCCGAGTTTCACGACGATACAACAATTACAAGTGTGTGTAATTCAGATTCTTAGATTGTGTTACATAGTCCGGTACAGGGTGCTTACTCTTGAATCCAATTCCGATCGATCGACATTGACATTGTGAAATTTCGTACTCTTGAGTTGTAACACTAGCGCCTTTTGCATCTATATTGCGTGTATATTTCATGAGTTTGTTTTATATACCGTACTCTAAATGCTTTTTAGCAGCTACGATGGGGTTATATAGTTTTGACATTGGATAATTATTGAGATTCTATTGGATTGAAATTGCATTGATATTGTGATTGGTTTTCAAGAGTAAGCACCCTGGTCGACCTATTAAAAAACATTTAAAGAGCGTTGCTAGTCTTTGAAGAAATACTGTGCTCTTTTCTTGAAGGTTTGAAGGTGTGGCTAAGGAAGGTAGGTAGGACTTACCCCTCTTATAATCGGTAGGTTAAGCAGAGATCCTAGGACTGGCACCATCCTTAGGAAATTCACAGCTGCAGGCAGGAATCCTCTGTGGAAAACAAAACATTTTATGAATATGCGTTTTATTGACAATAGGGATGATGACATGGTATGACAATTCAAAATCTAATTAGTCCGTCAGTTAGGTAATGAAAAAATATTAGACACGTATTTTTTATTTTTAACTGACTTCAAAAAAGGAGGAGGTTATACGTTCGGCCGGTATGTTGCTTTTTTTTTTGTCGTATAAGAAAACAATACTTAGACAAAACGAATCAAAGTTTAGGAGTGAGAGGTAGCTACGTCATTTTAGAGTATAAATCGTACTCAAAAGTGACGTCATGCGATATTTCAAATCAATATATCTTCGAAACTATTTGTTTCTGTAAGTAAATAAAAAATAAATGTCTAATGTTTTTAAAAATATACCAGACGGACATTAAAATTAAAATCTACCCTATTGAAACTATTAGGAATTAAAATTATTTTTTTTTAATGGGGAAAATCATCGAATGACTTCTCCCGCCTGGGTGAGGCGGGAGGGAGTGTCAGACTCCTACTGACTAAAAACCACCCGCGCTTAAGTCCTCCGAGGCTCCGTATCGGCATCGGCCCTATTGGGCCAACTCCGTGGTGTTCTGTTGGCTCTTTTCGTTCGCGACGCAACGGAAATTTAATGTTAATGGTATGCCTCACGTCACTTACAATACAATATCAATACTTAAACGTACCTGAATAACAATAAGAATCCGTAGATCTCAGCGATCATGCCGATCATAGGCCATCCCATTAATACAATGGTGATGCCTCCGAAGAATGCTACGGATGCCTTGATTTTATGTCTTTGGAAGAAGAAGAAAAACGTCCTTTGTAGACCTATCACACACGCCAGCCCGCTGATGAAGAGGATCTGAGGAGTTTTTGAAGATAAATTAGGTTTTGCAAAAGTCCTTATAAACTTCAGTTTAAATTATTACCGTCCTCTTCTTTGTGTGTGTTTTTTTTATGGAATAAGCCGGTAAACGAGTAGACGGATCACCTGATGGTAAGCAATCGGCGTCGCCCATAGACAACCGAAACACCAGAGAAGGTACAAGTATGTTACCAGATTTTTGGGGACTAGTAATTTGAGAATTGTTGGGGATTCAGGGATTGGGGAAGGTGGCGGGTAATTGTGCCTCCGGTAACCTCACTCACTCGACGAAACACAACGCAAGTGTTGTGTTGTTGTTTCACGTCGGTTTTCTGTGAGGCCGTGGTATAAATCCGGTCGAGGCAGCCCATTCCTGCCGAAGCATTGCTCTCACACATATAAGAAGTTCGGTTAATTTTTTTTTATTCATAAAGTAGTTATTCCTTATTTTGATAGAAGTATAGAAATATAATGATAAGGACTTACATTTCCTATAGCAAGGAGACCCTTATCGAATAGTAGGAGCACACCCAAGAAGAGGAAGGTCATGCCAAACCCGGCAAGACCTACTCCAATTTCTGAAATAATGAAGAAAATATGTAAATATAGAATTGTATTGTGAACTTGATTGAAAAAGAGTATTCTAAGGAGTTTCTTGCTCGTTCTTCTTCATAGGATCACTTTTAATCTGCAAGTAAAACATGTCATGGTGTCCCGGAGGTTAAGATGTCTGTTTCTTATTCATGAGAATGCGGGCTTGAAATCTACGGGCTTGAAATCTTAAGGTGTCATTGATGTAGATGGCTGTATACAACATGATGTCTTAAAAACTGTGTCTGATTTTAAAGGTTAATCAACAATTTATCTCCGACTACTCCTTTTATCCTTTCTCTGAAGGTCATCGCTTTAATATTATATAAGTCATTTCACAAGAATTTGGCATAGTGATAACATATCATAAATTATATTAATAATTAAGACGCCTTTTCTTAGTAAGATTAATATTATCAATATGATAGTGGTGTCAAGCAGGAAAATGTTATGCTGGTATGGACATGTAGACAGGATGGATGAAAGTAGAGTAATGGAAGACATATACAGAGCGGGTATGAATGGAGTTATCAATTGAGGGCACCCATGTACTCACCAGATTGGTGATATATTAAAGAAGGGCCAAATTGAAAGCACCCTTAACCAACGCATGCATGAAAAGACTGATGACTATTGATGAAGCAAAAGAAGTATGTAAGAAATGTAGCAATTGGCATTCCATAGTCTCTGCCTATTCCCATGATAGACAGGCGTGAATTTATGTATGTAGGTAATAAAAACTCTTATTAACTGGTCAAGATCAAAGCGGTCAGCAGTGACCATCTCCACTCGCTTCATTATAGACCTTATTTCCAATGTTTAGAGACTACTTTGTATCAACAAAGTTCGGGGACTTTCAGTGTGATATCTTAAGTGATTTAACTATTAAACACTTAATTAGATAATTGTGAAAGATCGTGAATAGAGTGAAGCTCTACTTCAGTCAAAGTCAAATTAAATTATTGAACTATTTAATTACTAGGAGTTCATTTATATTTCATACTTCATCATCATCATCATAACATCACGCCTTTTATCTCCGGAGGGGTAGGCAGAGGTGCACATTATGCCACTGTACAATGTAACACCCACTTTTCACTATTTATGTTATGAATCCCATGTAATAGGGGGTGAGCCTATTGCCATATACCGGGCACAATTCCAGACTCCGTGCTACTACTGAGAATTTTTAAAAACCCAGTAGTACTTTGCCCGACCCGGGAATCGAACCCAAGACCCCTTGCCCGGCAGTCGCACTTGCGACCACTCGGCCAATGAGGCAGTATTTCATACTTAAAAAGTCTAATTTAAACATTCTTAAGCTAGAATAAAAATCTAGGTAATTTAATATTTTCTAGCCCTAGGCACAACAGCAGAGTTTATGATATATGAGAATGTTAACATTTTTAAAGCCACAGCTGCTAGATATAAAAATCAATAAACTTTTGAGTCTTTGTAGTCTTAAATATATCAAAGGTGATAGAATAATTGTTGCCCTGAGTATTTAACTACTATAATATTGGAGTTTAAGAGACTACGACCACAATCTAAGAGGATTCTGATATGATATACAGACTTTTTAGACTAAACACAAACTCTTTGGGGCGTCAAAACAAAGCTAAGTTTATATGATCAATAGTCTTAAAAATAATGATATAATGTAACTTATTAATATCAGAAAATGTAAAGGAACTGTAGAACAGATAGATGGATTGTAAAAATTATGGTTTTCAATCCAAAAATGAAGAAATAAACATGTATTTCTCAATGAACGTCGATGCTCCCAAAAATTATGACATAGATTTAAAAATACTTACTCTGTGTGTCTGTGATCTCGATCATTTTTGTGCTTTTTGGCTACTTATCAATTAAATTAATTGTTTTATCACTTTATTTATGTAAAACAGCTATTTTTCAACAAATTCTTAACCTCATCTCCACGTCATTTTAACAATTTCCAAATGTCACTGCTTCTGACAGATTGACAGTTGACGTTGACATTTTAAGATTGAGTTGCCAGTGTAAAATATGAGACGTACATACGTACATAACTCCACGCCTGTCTCTCATGGGGGTAGCAGAGACTATGAGACGCCAATTGCTCTGAGAACTTATTGAAAAATATGCAGTCGCAAGTAAATAAAAAAAATAAAACATTAACCACCCATAATCACCTTATTGATCGCTATGTAATGTTTAAATACTATATAATGAATTTTGTATCCTATAACTATAGTCAGAATTTTAATTAGATTCCAGATTTGACATTAGCTACTGTCATTTTGAGAAATAATGATACCACATATAATAGTGTAGTGATGAACACAAAAATCGATAAACAATCAGTGTGTATGTTTTATAATAAATGTTACAGAAAGTGGCAGGATAGCGATAGCGATGACGGCGACAATTTTTAAAATAACTTATTACCATAATACATCTATCTGTTTTATTTGTCATGTTCCTTCATGATTACATTTTTTTATTTATTTCACACACAATTATAAAAGAAAAGTCTCAGATCGTTAATTAATCGTCAAAACTAAATTATCGGTTCAGAAATATTTAATTTCCTGATATACTGAGTTTACGAGAGTAAAATTATAAACGAGAAGAATCGATCCAGAAATATTCCATTGCCATATCGAATAATTTCGCAACGTCACTATTTAGTACTTGTCATAACGTTGCAATACTGAAATTGTCAAATCTGGAATCGAATTAAAATTCCGAGTATAGGTTGCCGTTTTTCACTTAGGAAAAAAATGCTACTTATAAAATAAAAATTAAAAAAGGTAATCCAGTAACAGGGTCAGGCTTTTTGTTCCATGAAGTCACGTCTACACCGAACAGCCAGCAATCACGTCGTTAGGCCTAAAAATATGAAACACCTATATTTACACCAGGACCTAAAATCTAAATACTACATTATGTGCACAAATGGTAAAAAAATGCAACCACTCGCCTAATCCGGTTAATAATACAATGGTAATAAGTTTTATGTCACCGACAATTAACCGTTTCATTGTCAGTAAAACAGCCTAGTTAAAACTTTATTAATCATCTAGTTGTTGCCCGTGATTTCGTCCGCGTAGAATATGAGTTTAAGAACATAACATTTTTTGATTCAATTTCCAAAATAAATGTAGCCTATGTTACTCCTTAGTATATCAGCCACTTGCCCATAAAAATTTTTCAAAATCGGTCCAGCCGTTCCAGAGATTAGCGGGTACAAACAGCTGACAAACAAAAATTGTAAAATATAATATACTAGCTTTTACCCGCGGCTTCGCTCGCGTCACAAAAGGATAAAAGTCTAGCCTATGTGACATATAACAATACACACAGCGCCATCTATATCAACACTTTTGTTTGTTCTCGGGAATATCAATTTTTTCCGGGTTAAAAAGTACCCTATTATTTAATCCGGACTTCTAACTTTACGTCTGCAAAAATTCAAAGCAATCGGTTGAGTAGTTACGGCGTGAAGGTGGAACAAACAAACAAACTCACTTTGAGATTTATAATATTAGTAAGGATTTTTATGTGTATCGTATGTATATTCATATGCATGTAGTAAAATGCGGTTATTTTAATATTACAAACAGATACTACAATTTTATTTATCTGTATAGATGTATAAATAAAAATTTGTCATCTACCGTATTGTAGAATAGAATAGAATAGTTTTATTTATTTACTATGAATGTAGATTATGTAGGTACAAATTATTAGATGTTACAAAAGAACAGAAGAAAAATAATAGGAAGAGGTATTTTTGTACAACCACAGCAGCTGTCAAATCAACGCCCAATGGCGTAACACTAGCTATTTCGCTATTGGACGAAGAACAGAAGACACACTAGCGACATCTGGTGAGCAATAATGCGGTAGTCCCCATTGCTTACCATCAGGCGACCGTTTATTTGTCTGCCCTCCTTTATTCTACAAAAGAAGTAGTGACGAAACGGGATGACGACGATAACGGTATCACCTGCAAAAACCAGTTTTAACACCAAAATATAGTATATGTTTCCGCGTACCTAACGAATGTTAATTTGTTTTATATATCCTTACGACCTTACCTCCTTACAACCATGTCACAAACTGGTTTGACAATCTTATCATAAAGTCATTGACTTCATTTTAACGATCAATGATGAATGAAGTTACTTTGTGTTTTATTATCATCATCGTATCAGTCACAAGACATCCCCTGTCACAACAGTGAACATAAGCCCCTACTCGAAGTGCAGGAAAAGGAACTGGGTGGTTTTTAGTCAGTAAGAGTCTGACACTCCCTCCTGGCTCACCCAGGCGGGAGAAGTCATTCGATGATTTCCCCCTTTAAATTTTTTTTATGGCATAAGCCGGTAAACGAGCAGACGGATCACCAGATGGTAAGCAATCGGCTTCACCCATGGACACCTGGAACACCAGGGTCGTTACAAGTGCCTTACCGGCCTTTTGGGGATTAGGAGTTTGAGGATTGATCGTTGGGGATTCAGTAATCGGGAAGATTGGGGAAGGGGAGGGTAATTGAGCCTTTCTTTGAGGGGGAAAGCCATCCAATGATTTCTCCCGGCTTGAGTGAGGCGAGAGGGAGTGTCAGAGATTACTGACTAAACACCACCTCGTTCCTACTCCTGCCCTTCGAGCTGGAGCCACGGTAACCTGTTAAGACCTCTGCGGCTCTGTATCGGCATCAGCCCTATTAGGCCCCATCTGTAGTGGTCTGATGGCTCTTTGAGGCGCGCGGTACGCTCGGGTCTGGTTCTAG